CCTTTCATGCCCATTAAAGAACTAATTTCTGTGTGGATTTTTCTGAGAAAAGTTGATTAAAGGCACAAAAAAATGTAAATTTCCAGTTACCACGAACTCTTAAGCTAAGGAAATAACTAATCTTTGGCGGCCATTTTCTCTCTAATTTTACATCTGAAAACAGGTGACCACCACCTCCTTCATTTGCAAATATCTCGACTTGCATTCAATATAAATTGATATTTTTTTCATCCAAATAAAGACAAGTGAATAAGCTTTAAGACGATACCAATAACTCTACATGCTCAAAAATTGACGAGAGCCTGATTCCACCACGATGCCTAAGAAATGCCCTCAGATTTTTATTGGGCCAGATATCAATTAGAGTTTGTATTGAATGAATAGATGTGTCAGGTATAAAAATATATCTACAGAACAGGATTGATCTCCTTTTTTTTTTTGCTCATTCAGGATAAAAATTGAAATTGTGAGACTTGTCCATCTGCGTACATTTGCTTGTTACACATTCTCCTTTCTTTCTTGGCAGTGCCTTTCTGTTTGGTCTGTGTTTTTAGTTTCAGCTTAGAAATGATCTGGAAGTCGCGTAACGTCTGCAGAAAGACTAACATATTTGGATGGGGGCTGTACTGAGTTATTTTGCCAAGGGGACTGTAACCGCTGGATGGAATAGGCAATCTAATTTTATCGACATCATTAAAAAGTGCGGGGCTCTGGCTGGAGTGTGCTGTGTGGAATGCGCACCTCTAGCAGGTAATTTGCTGGCGGTACAACGGGGTAAAATTGCATTAGTTAAATAAGGACTGTACAACTCAGACAGTTGGTGAACGGCGGATGGCGGTACAACGCGGTAAAATTGCTTTAGTTAAAAAAGGACTGTAGAACTCAGACAGTTGGTGAACGGCGGATGGCGGTACAACGGGGTAAAATTGCATTAGTTAAATAAGGACTGTACAACTCAGACAGTTGGTGAACGGCGGATGGCGATGTGAAGGCGCAAATGCTACGTTTAAAGATAAGCATTCCTTTTCGTACATTGGCAGCACGTGGCTGTAAGCGGAGCTAGTGGTACAACTGGGAGCGGTAAAACGAGGTTTCACTGCATGAAATGTACAGTTTAGTTCAGTGTATAGAACTTGAAAAGAAGTATAATTTGATATATAGAACTACCATGTGGGATGATTCTATGATTTGTTATCGTGTTTTTACTAATAACACCATACATTGCATTTTTTGTTTGTGCCAAATTTTTCTCATAAACTGTGAAAATGTTACTCCATTTGTGGCACAGAATATTGTAAGAATTGATTTGTATCATGCCCCTATGCGTTGTGCTAGAAGTAAGGTTTAAGTTGATATACCAATCAGCCCTGCAGTGCTATTTGTGGAGTTTTCTGAAACTTTTCCTCATCACAACTTGTCATTCCACCCCCCC